GATCAGGACAGGTATCTGATGTTAATGTATATAAAAGTGATCATACATGAAACACCTGGGATCAGGACAGGTATCTGATGTTAATGTATATAATATAAAAGTGATCATACATAAATCCCCTGGGATCAGGACAGGTATCTGATGTTAATGTATATAATATAAAAGTGATCATACATGAATCCCCTGGGATCAGGACAGGTATCTGATGTTAATGTATATAATATAAAAGTGATCATACATGAAACCCCTGGGATCAGGACAGGTATCTGATGTTAACTAATATAAAAGTAATTATACATGAAACCCCTGGCATCAGGACAGGTATCTGATGCTACTGTATTTGATATATAAAGTATTTGACACAAAAGCCGTGGGATCGGGACCGGTATCTTAAGTTATAACAGTATTAATGTAATCTGAGAGGTATCTTAAGTTAATTTGTTTAATATAACATACACTTACTTCACATGAAAAACCTGCGATCAGGACAGCTATTTTGTACTGCATATAAAAGACATTGGACACGAAACCCCTGCGAATACGTACAGGTATCTGAATCAAACGGCTGTTTTCACAATCTGCGCATGATCCGTGACCTATGCAAATTCACAGATAGGCCACGCCCACCCGATTACGTAGTAGCGGTTACGCTGTACTGAAACCCCTGGAAAAAAGTGCCTGCCCATTCACTTCTTGCCATCTCAACAGGTTTAAACAACGCTGTCTGATAAAAGCATGATGAACAACCAACCACAGTGTGCGTCTTCCTTGACTGTCAGTGACCACTTCCTTCTCTCTCTTGCTTTTCTTCTCTCTCACGCCCAGCCCGGCCTTCTTTCAAGGAACAAACGTCATCCAAAATAAAAGTATTACTGAGATTGCTGACTTACTCCAAACTTTGATTACAATTTTATTTATGACATCGTCACAAACAATCTTCCATTTTTCAAAATAAAAAAGTCCTACATGCAAAGTAAGTTAAATATTATATGAAATAAACTTAAAAATAAGCGAGTAAGATAATCATTGTCTTACTGGGAAATGTTGAGGCTTGTCAAACACAAACATTGGCGTGCATATTAGTGATCCTGTTTGCAATACAGTTTGTGTTTTGGCTAGTGATATGATGCGTGGCTGCTTGTCAGGTCCAGATGATGCAAAACCTGACCTAAAGTGCATGTTTGGAGGCATGCCCCCAGACATTAAACCTTTTGTTGTTTTTAACCAGGTTAACAAGTTCTTAAACTTCAGGTGGTGTTTAGACAATTTTCAATCGGGGTTCAGAGCACATCACAGTACAGAGAGCGCTCTTATAAAGATAATCAATGATATACGCCTAAATACAGATTCAGGTAAAATAACATTGCTGGTATTGTTGGATCTCAGTGCTGCATTTGACACTGTCGATCACAGCATACTTCTGGATAGGCTGGAAAACTGGGTTGGGCTGTCTGGCACGGTCCTCAAATGGTTTCGATCTTACCTTGAAGGTAGAGGTTACCATGTCAGTATAGGTGACCATAGGTCGAGGTGGACACCCATGACATGTGGAGTCCCACAAGGCTCGATTCTGGCACCTCTCCTGTTCAACCTTTACATGCTCCCTCTAAGCCAAATAATGAGAAAGAACCAAATCTCCTACCACAGCTGTGCTGATGACACTCAGGCCCCGTTTACACTAATGCGTTTTAGTTTGAAAACGCATAAGTTTTGCTACGGTTACGCCATCCGTCCACACTACGCCGGAGTTCTCGAGCGCCGAAAACGGAGCGTTTCGAAAACGCTGGAGAGGCCGTTTTCATTCTGAAACGCAGCTGCTCCGTCTCAGTGTGGATGATGGAAAACGGAGACATTTGAAAACGGAGGCGGGGCTGCAGACATTCGCCTCTCTGATTGGGGCTTTTCCTGAATATTAAGTAGCCTAACACGCACAGTTCAGTCCTGCATCTTCTCCGTGTAAGTTAAAACTTCGCAAGTTTGATCATGGCTGCAGTCTCTTCTTCTCAGTTTGATATGGAAAACAGACTATACCGAGGACACGGGTAAATCTTCAAAGGGAACAGTGTACTTTATAACTTCATTCACATCACCCTGGCTACGTTGTTTTACTTTCTCAACAATAAAATGTAAACATGATATAAGGAACTGCCTATTTTCATTTTAATATTAACAACTAAACAGACAGCAAAAATGTTGAGGCGCCGTGCTGCAAATATGAGCGTCATTATCACTGTGTGCATATTTATAACAAAACGGAGCCGATAACAACTGCCTCCTTTCAATTTCAGTGAAAATACGAAACACACCCTCTCTTTGCTGAATATCAGTTTTAATCGATAATGGCCATTATAAAAGTATAACATACAATAAGTTTATACATTATAGGAAATAAAGGCAAGCGATCAGTCAATATACAGAATGTACGTGCTTACATTAATCATTAACTTATCTTTGCGCTTAGCCAAAACACGTTACCTGAGAACAAGTAATAGATTCCAATGTCCAATGAATATGTCGTTAAATAAAGACAACAAGATAAAAGAAATATTCCGTTTAATAAATATAGTGAGGTTAGATCCAGCGGGAGATGCTTGATGAGAAGTCAGACTAGCACAGCTCTCATCTGGGTAGATTGGCTGAGAGTGTGTGTGTGGTCACGTGATGTGCGTTTTCAGCGTTTTGGTGTGGACGGAGAGCTGTTCAGAAACGCTGGATGAAACGCGAGTGTGGACGCGGATCGTTTTCATTTTAAAACGCCGTTTTAAAACTAAAACGCACTAGTGTAAACGGGGCCTCAGATCTACCTAGCCTTACTGCCTAATGACTACAGCCCCATTGACACCCTCTGCCAATGCATTGATGAAATGAGCAATTGGATGTGCCAAAACTTTCTTCAGTTAAACAAAGAGAAAACTGAAGTCATTGCGTTTGGGAACAGAGATGAGGTTCTCAAGGTAAATGCGTACCTTGGCTCTAAAGGTCAAACGACAAAAAAAAAGGTCAAGAATCTTGGTGTGATTCTGGGGTCAGATCTGATTTTTAATCAGCATACTATCATCTCAAAAACATAGCAAGAATCAGATGCTTTGTTTCTAGTGAAGACTTAGAGAAACTTGTTCATGCTTTTATCAGCAGCAGGGTGGATTACTGTAACAGCCTCCTCACTGGTCTTCCTAAAAAGACAGTCAGACAGTTGCAGCTCATCCAGAACGCTGCAGCCAGAATTCTAACCAGAACCAGAAAATCAGAGCACATCACACCTGTCCTCAGGTCTTTACACTGGCTGCCAGTTACATTCAGAATAGATTTTAAAGTGTTATTACTGGTCTATAAATCACTAAATGGCCTAGGACCTAAATACATCACAGACATGCTCACTGAATACAAACCTAACAGATCACTCAGATCATTAGGATCATATAAACTAGAAGTTCCAAGAGTTCAGTCAAAGCAGGGTGAATCGGCTTTTAGCCACTATGCCCCTCGCTGCTGGAATCAGCTTCCAGAAATGATCAGATGTGCTCCAACATAAGGCACATTCAAATCAAGACTGAAAACACATCTGTTTAGCTGTGCCTTTACTGAATGAGCACTGTGCTGCGTCTGACAGATTGCACTATCATGTTTTTCTCTTCTTCTTCATTCTTTTATATCACATTTTACCTGTTTTTATGTTTTGTTTTGTTTTTACGCATTTTTATTATTTGTTTTTATTTTTATTTTACTTGTTTCTTTTATTCTTGTTTATGTAAAGCACTTTGAATTGCCATTGTGTATGAAATGTGCTATATAAATAAACTTGCCTTGCCTTGCCTTTTGCCTTCCTTAGCACTGACAGATCCAAAAGTGATGTAAATAGGGTCTCAACAACTGTGCCTTTGTCTTTTTGTTCGTTCAAGCCAAAGAACTATTTTTGTTAATTATATTTGGGCAGGTGGAACTTGTCTGGCTAGTGTCTAGACAGGTTATTTCAACTATCTGCCACATCTGCATGACTTGTTTAGCCAAATCCACCTTAACACTGCCCCTTCTAAAACATATAATACACAGGACAACACTGACTAGATTAGTTTCTTATGCTTTGTTCACACTGCAGCCAAATGTGACTAGAATCAGATTTTTTTGCCCACATGTGACTCAGGTAATGACAGTGTGAACAGCCCAACCTGCATGAAATCAGATCTTTTCAGTTCAGATCTATGCCACTTTCATACGTTCACACTTCAAGGCTTAGTGCTCAAATCTGAATTTTTCACAGATCTGATTTTTTTTGCATGGCTGTTCACATAGCTCTTATAAATGTGGCCAATATCAGATTTGCATTGTGAACAGATCATAGTCCTAAACTGACCCACATGCGCAAAAGTGTATTAAGGAGAGCACAAAATGTCTAATTATGCACAAGTGTGTGCTGTATGAGTAAGCACTTTGTCAGATCATGCTTATATGATTATTACCCTCAACATTTAGTTCATTCTGCGGAGGCTCAATAACCCTTGATGAGTTCACTACAGCGGTGGTCAGAATGACGCACTGTGGTTGTCATAAATCACAAATGATTAGTGTTTTCTATCACAAGTGACTTATTTCAGTGTATTCAGTGTAATGGTGAAATACACATTAGTAGTAGCAGGACAACCTCTTACAGTTCATGAAATACTATTTATATTAAGCAATAAGCAAAATCTTACAACATGCTTACTTCATACAGTATTCGTATTGTGTGCATAATTAGACATTTTGTGCTGTACAAATCTATACTTGCGCATACGGGTCAGGTAAGGAATATGATCTGTTCACATTGCAAATCTGATATTGGCCACATTTCTAACAACAATATGAACAGCTATGCAAGAAAATTAGTTCTGAGAAAAAAAATCAGATTTGAGCACTAAGCCTCGCAGTGTGAACGTAGCCTTATAGACTATTGCAGACTCAAGTTGACTCTTGAAGAACAACAACTAACACATTCTTAATAAAGAATTCTGCTTAAAAGAGTGTCCTGGCTTACGTTCAGAAATTTAATGCAGTATACCCACATTTTCTTTAAAGGGCACTTTTAGTAAATATGACCATACAGGATTTTACATACAAGATGGTTAATTTAAAAAAATTTGGTTAGAAATTCTTTAAAAACGTTCCAGTCATTATTGTTAACATCTCATTCTGAATCCTTGACAAATTGAATAATTTCTTAATGCAGATGTCCCAACCTGAATGAGCTGTTGTTTTTAACAGTCTAATTCATACAGTAGAAACAGCTGTCTCAAATGGTCTTCACAACTGTAGCTCATCTGTCCAATGATTCTGTAAAAAAAAAAAAATGCTGTAAATATATTATAAAAATATTACAAAAAAAAAAAAAAAAAAAAAAACATTTTCACTGTTGCTGCATGGGTTTCATCGCATTCTAAAATGATCATTTTAACCACAAAACCTGCCCATTAGAACCTTTACAGATTTATTTTTAGAGCATCCATACGAATGTTATTGGACACCTGTTTTGACCAAGCGGCAACCTCCCGCTCTTCCTCGGGAAGCCAATAGGGAAGTAACTAAAACTGCAATTCATCCAAAATTCCGCTAGTTCTGGCCGCTCCTGGCTCCATAATAGAGCAAATTTTAATTGAGCCCACTGTTAGAATGGCCAACTTTACAGCAGAAAAAAAAAGGTGTTGAACAAACACTCATAACAACTGTGAGGGGGGTGAATATTTTTTATAACTCATCCGTTTCCTTTATATTAAGTTATATTAAGTTTGCATAATTAAGAGCGTGGCCACTTGAGTGACAGCTAGGTCTCGCTGATCACTGTCACATCACCTAAGCTGACTTCGGCAGATTAACCACTGATTTTGACATATTCATCGTATTTCTGGGTTGTTTTATGTGGCTTTACACAGTCTACTGTTTTGGACTTGTTTCCAACAATTATCAGATAGCATGGCATAATGTGTCACTTAATTGTGCTCACAAACCATTCACATGGCCTCCGTTTCCCATGCGAGTAAAGTTATATACTTATATACCATCTTTATACATGTATTTGTTTTATTTAAGATTATCTATCGTTTTTATTTATATTTAGAGCTGTATTGCACTCCAGAATCTGACAGATTGATTAGATGTGGACTGTAGAACAGTCATCTGAAGCATTGTCATACAGTGTTATGCTGAATTTCATCAATAGTCCTGCATTTACTAATACAGACTATATCTAAGGGGTTTGAAAGTAATTCGCGTTTTCCTCCTGTTGAAAAATGTCATAAGAACAATGCTTAATGGCTCAATGTATTACTACAGTGTTTTTAAAAGTCTAACCACTTTATTGATATAGTGTACAGCCAAGCACATGTGGTCAGAACACAAACGAGTTGCATTAGAAAGTATTAAGCATTCTCTCAAAGTAAAGTCTGTCTAGACCAGGTCTAAGCAAAATGCCAGTAGGTGTCTGTAGCTCCGCTCACTCTCCTCCTCTTTGCCCTTGTTTGGTATCCCGCCGTGGGTCCGATGACTCACAAATAAAATGGCGACGGTTGGCCGTGTCTACTTGTGGCTTCTTTTGCGCTCTTCAGAAACCTATGGGTGAGGCATGGATGCTACGTCCATATATTTTACAGTCTATGGTTTTGACACATGTCCATCTGTGCGACAAACAGGATGGCCCCCATCCCCAGTGGAAGTTACACCCTGTTAGTAATGCAATGCAAAGTAAACAAACTGGTGAGGTGGTTTTGACTTTACAGTCCCACACACATAGTAAGTTTAATATAAACTTTGATACACCTATAAAATAAGGGATGATAATCATTGTTATTGCAATCTCAAAATGCAGCCTGAGACTTGCATATTATCAATCCCATGTGCAACAAATTAATCTGTGTTGACAGTTCAGTGCTGATTTCCTGTAGGCGGGAACTTGTCATGTCCATAGGAGTCGAGGCTATGTATTGGCAAGGGCCTCACGATACAATATATCAAGATATATAAATAATACGCGATACAATAAATATTGTGATATATTGCAATAGTTTGTATTAGTGTGTCATGTTATATTGACAACTTGATGAAGTCAGCAGACATTTTAAAATTCCAATTCCAAATTACTTTCTATCCATTTCAATTCATTAGAACTGCACAGTGTTATCGAACAGAGAACTCACTTAACTGTATTAAAATGCATATTGTTATTTAACATTGAACTAAAATGAATATGCCACTTAAGTCACATTTGAATTAAATAAACTATTTATAAGCAAGTAGGGATGCTCAAAATAATCGATTAACAGTTAACCGTAAAAATATTATTTTATATATTTTTAGTTTGGCTGCATAAGGGGCCGATCGAATGCGCTTTTTTGCTTTAAGAGGGGCATCTTTTGAATGGTTTCTAACGCCCGCAAGTGTTTTGCACACAGCTTATCCCAGAGCAGCAGTTTGTGTTGTCAAGACAACTAGAGAGAACTTTTAAAGAGCATGGTTTCCGCTACATTCATTGTTCCATGGCGGGGACCAAAATACATTACTCATTTAAAACATTCATTCATTGTTGTTTTTTTTATAGCGGATTATAAATCGCACCATAACGTATTAAAAGGTAAGTGGATTATAACAGCGCAAACTTTTCAGTAACCGTATAGTGCTGTGTCCTATATGTTTAACCCTTTGGGATTACGTGCTTACTGACTGGCTGACTGACTGAGAGGTGCATGATGCGTGAGGCCAGCAAACATGACGTAGCTTTCAGTTAAGATGAACACAGTTTCCATAATTATACTTTATTTATAGATAAAGGTATATGGCTCTGCATTTAATCACTCTATCTTGCTGGAGTTTATAGCCGTTTCACTTTACTTCAGGACGCATTAATGCAGCTCTGAAAGTCTAATAGCCGTTTCAAGTTATCCAGAGCTGTATGAATGTACAAATCTTGAATATCACAATATTATTAAATATTACAATTCTAACAACACAGACAGCAAGCAACACTTTTGCACAATCGATACCCAGCTGATTCAGTCGTTACATAAGAGGACCGCGCTTCTTTTTTTCTTGTCAACATAAAAGGAGTGTGGTGCGCCTCACGTTATTGGAATCGAAAAGCATGTTAGCTGTGGTCGGGCTCCTTCAACTGCTAGACATAGGCCTACTTGTTAACTTGCAGGATGATAACGTATAACCCGTGCCTACAGACATATTTGCCAAAGAAGCAAAAATGGAAAAGAATATTGTTGTTTGATACAGACGTGTTGATGCCAAACCTGCCCTGGGGGCTGTTCCAGAAAGCAGGTTATGTGACATACACGGGTAAGTTTGAGAGTAAGTAGGTGGATAACCTCAACTTTGGTTCCAAAATCAGAGGTAACTTCTGGGTATGTTAAGTAGCCATAGCAACTTACTCTCTGAAGATAACCTGCTCCGGAGCAGGTTATGTTCAGAGAGTAAGTTGCTATGTTTCAGAGTTTGTCTGTTTCAGAGAGTTTACTGAGCATTGCGTGCTCTTTTGATGAGAATATTTATGGATGTGGACACACAGATACAAGTTTTTTCGTTGTGAGAGGGTTATAAGTGTATAGTTTTTTTCATAACCAAATTCATAATGTTAATGTATTTAACAAACCTTTTTGAAATCAAATGTGACAAAGCGCAGGTCTGCACTTACCATGAAAAACATTCAGTGCAGCTCTTTGTATTCGCGTCAGGGCATTTTAGGCAACTGTACAATGTGGCAGTATGACCACCTGTACAGTACGCCTGGCACTGAACTGTTTATTACACTTTTGTACAGTTCCTTGGTCATAAATCACTGCGTATCATTACACAGATGATTCAGAGCACGGGAATAGCGTAGTGGACAATGCGTTGATAAAGAACAACGGAGCGCACAACGGAGCGAGTTCGAATCTCACTTACAGATCTTGTGTTTTTTCTCTCCTTCTGCACCCCTCACATTTTTCTGTATAATATCATAAGTGGCAGCTTTGTCTTTTGTAGGAAAATATATCTTTAATTTAAGATGTAGGACGTCGTTCTTATTTATACATTCACGCACACACACCTACATTTTTTAATATAATATTTTTTTCAGGGTTTCTAAATGCTATTGTGTGCATTAATTGCAGCCGATTTTAAAGCTCCATCAGTCACTAAAGGACACTGATAATATAAAATTTGTCCAAAGTATAAGTGTGCAGGTACAACTTTTCTATCCTTAATCTTTTGGTGTTTTAACTATTAAACTCATTACTGCTTCCACTTACCAGCTCATCACACACCCCACCTCATCACTATGTTGAGGCTAAATGGCTGATTTTCAGGAAGTAATGATTCAAGTGTATAACACAAATATAGTAGAAAAAAAAACTATAAAGCAAATGTTGCTTAACACAATGTTTATTTTTATTATATTTGTATTATAAAATAGAATCATTACTGGGCACTACATTGTTACTTGCTGGAGGACAAAAGATACCCTTTTCTGCCTTATACGATGACACGTACCTGCAGCCTGACCCAGAGGAAATCTCAGTGACCCAAGCAGACAAAACAGATGGAAGAGTGCTAAAAAATATATAATTAGTCAAAAAACTATGTTTATTCAAATAGTTTGATCTGTTGATTTCTTAATTTCCTGAAATAAAATGAATGATTTTGTACACTGCTTTATACACGCACCTTTCAACGTGTAACATATTTTTCATATACATTTCTCATCTTTATCTTTGAAGATGGACCTTATACTACTACTTTAGAATTTAAATATGCAGATAAAAGATTTTGTGATCCAAGAGTAATATTCAAATATGGAAAAGTGCAGAAAATTCTTACACTGCTTGTTAGTTTAGGCAGAAGGAACTTCGTCTGCATGCAAAATAAAAAGAACCTAAAGCTATCTGACAACAATCACTTACAACAGTGACAGAGTGTGTGGTTTAAGTCAAAAACTCAACCACTGAAAAGCCTTTATTATAGGACACAGCAGTTAGACAGGCCTCTTTCTATTAGCTGCATGCCAGAAAGAATATTCTAGAGTGTTAAATAAAGAGCTCCAGTAATTAAATATTACCTTTTATGATAATGTTTCTGTGTTTAATGACTTTGAACAGAGTTCTAGCTCCAGAAAGATTACAATTTCTATAAGCCTTATAAGTCAACACACATATTGTGGCCTTAAGAAATTAATGGCAAGAAAAATAAATGCATGAATGGTTACACAACATACTCAAAAAGGATGTTAAAGAGTAGTTTAATTTATCATTACAATAAAATGGAGGGTGGCATATGTAATTTAATGAACTAATAAATTTTCTTATTATTTATTTTTTATTTTCTTATCTATTTCTTATTCTATATTTCTTTCCTTCGTTGAAGCAGAAGTGTAATCTCTGTGTTTAAAACCTCCAGCTTCGCCTCTGTAAAGTGCGTTGCCCTTTTTTTCTCACCGTGACTTTCTATGGTGACTCGTGAATTCGGCGATCTACTGAAAATGCCTTCAGGTGTGTGCCGTGCACGCGCATTAACCCGCGGTTATCTTCAGGAGGTTGATTTAACTAACTCTTGTCACCTGTTTTGGAACCAACATACTCGCGGTAAGCAGGTTTTGGGTAAATCAACCGAGAGTTTAGGTTTTAGCAGATGGTAAGTTAACCCAGCTTTCTGGAATACCCCCCTGATTATGACCTGGATCTGCGTCATAAACACAACATATAGGCTTTACCTTTCATTTTACAGCTTATAAAGCATGTATGCACATTAATGCAATATCATATTTTAACAACAAAACTGTTTACAAAAAGTCAACATATTTACGCGTTGTCATTTTGTCTTTTCATCACAGCAGCGTGCACTTGAACTGTGAGAAAGAGAGGAAACCGTACAGCAAGACATAATCTTTAAAATAGTGATTTCTATTAAAAATGTAAAAAGGTTTTGTGATATGATAACAGCGGGGCATTAAATAAATTAATATTTTCCGTGGAGGGGGCAATTTGAGGAAGTCTGCGATTTTTATTTGACGGAAGAAAAAAAACTTTAATTGGAAAAAAAAAAAACAGCCTATGCCAGTTCTTAAAAAGAATCAGTCAGTGTTTTCATTTTGTAATATAAATTAATTATTTAAGTGAAAATAATTCAGGGCAGTCCTATTTATTGTATTCATTTTCATTTAGTTTAATCTGTTCTTCTGTGCTAAATATTGCAGGTGCGTGAAAATGCTCTGTTGTTATGTTCTGTTATTAATTTGCTAGCATGTTAAAATAAATCAGTATTTTAAAATGCAATATTTATTGTGTCAGACACAAAATAGACACATCAATTTTATTAAAATAAAATTAATAGTAATATGACCAGTTAACCGTTAATAACCGATTAATGAGCGGCGGTTGTAGGTTAGCAAAATTAACCGAAATGAGCACCCCTAAAAGCAAGTTAAAAAAAATTAAAATGTATCATCAAGTAAACATAAAACTGGAACACAGTGCTCTAATATGCAGTAAACTAGGCTATTAGAAACTGACATTGCGACTGACAGCATCGTGAACATTTTGCTGTGAAAACTGGTCGCACATGGGTAAATTGATGGCTGGCACGAAACATTTTACATGCAACATGCCAGCCAGCTGTGCTGGCAAGGTCATGTTTGACGCGGTGTCTGTTACAATGACAGGTCCTTGCAATTGATGTCCCATTCTTCCTATGCAGTTTTCAGTAACTCTGCAATGTTAGTTAAGGCAAACAAAAGCTTGTTGATAATGTTATCCAGTGTAGTTTGCAATGAATCAAGAGGGTTCGGTTGTGGTCGCAGTTCTGCTAATTCATCTGCGTGGTTTCTTGTTAAGTGATAACGCAAGTTTGTAGTGTTTCCCGAAAATTTTGTTGATAGTGAGTTAGCGACATCTACTGGAGCAAAGGAGGAGGTTGTTTGGCACAACATGAATCGATACTTGAGGTTGGACTACTGATATTTATCGTGAAATACATTATCGCGATAGTTAGATATTTCGATATTTTTGCAAAGCCCTAGTATGAGTATGACAAAGTCCATGCAAATTTTTAAGGGTTTGCCCTATGATTCACACAACAGTCTGGTTTGTGTTCTAATTGGCTTGTTTTCACCGGGGTATTACACTAACAGAAGGCTCACGGTACGGCCATTATCATGTACTGAAGTCTTATTATTTGACTATGCCAAGGTATGGCCAGATTTATATTAAATAGGTTGACACTTTGTGCATTGCTGATCAAAAGCACTACCTACTGCGTCACCTCTGACTGCACTATACTTTTTAAAATTACTTTTATTTTTAATGAATAATCTATCAAATGACTATCTTTTATTGATTAGGGCTGTCTAGTAATAACTACTGTGGGAGTGATGGTTTATTCCTTGTAATGTGATTATCTACTAAAGAACATGTAAACAGGTGTATAGGTTTCATAAGAGGTGGGATGATACCGGAAAGTAAATACTATAACTTTTTCCACTCCATAACGGGTAAGAAGGCACTTGTCAGATGGCGTATTGCAGTTGTATGTCAAACTCAAACATGAATACATTTTATGTAAAGCTCTTTGAATTACCAAAGATGAAGGACTTTTTCCTCAGTATAACATTAATGAACATTTATAGATAAGATCATGGTCTTGGGTGATTTTATATAATCAGTTATATTTATAAACGTATGTTTATGAACTAAGGCAATAGGAACTATCACGATAACATACAATACAAAAAAATGGTAATATTAATATCATGAAATACACAAATAATACCTGTGACACCTGAAAAAGCATTGAGGCCTTGTAAAGTGAAATGATTGGTCTTGCAAGAAACTCTCACAACATTTTTAGCTGTCTGTGGCTTTAGACAAACAATCTTAAGTGATCTCAAGCTCAGAAGTGCATCATTCATTTGAGCAGGTTCTTGATGAACAAGTTTACCAAGTTAAACTGAACCACACACAGATCTAAAGTTGTTCAATAAAAACTCATTTTCTGGCAAGCCCATCACTTCCATATGAACGAAGTCAGTAGGTCATAACCTCCTAGGGCTTGAGTGTCCACATAGGTGGACAGCACATTTTAGCTCTTAAGTGGCTTTTTAAAATACTTTAAAATGTTTTATATTTTGTTACAGACATACAATGTCATCCTGCAACTGTTTTGCAGCATATAAAAAAAGTCCCAAACTGTATTTTTAACTGTCCAAAATGGGGGGGAAATCTCTGAAAGTCAAGTTCAACAAAAAAATCCATGTTAAACATGCTTTAAAAAACATTCAGGAAAAAATGTCCACATAAGGTATATGGAAAAAAAAATTATCTCTAAGAGTACATCACATCAAAAGATGATACTTAGATTTTTATTCTAATTAGGTTCCAATTAGCCCAAATAGCAAAAAGAAATAAAAAATGCATGTAAAAAACACCTTGGGCCTTAAGAGGATAATTCATTACACTGAACTGAGCAAACCGAGTTAGACTGAAGAACTAATGAGCAATGAGTCCATGCATAAAAAAGAACATGAACAAGGTGTTGAAATATATGTTTTTAGGCTGTCTCAATGTTTGTGGAAAAAAAGTGACTTGAAGGCTATGCTTTTGAGTTCAATGGATAATGTGTAATGTACCGGTACTCTTTTTTGCACAGACTTATGGCTTTACATCACAAGGCCTTAGAATATCTTCAAGAGCCATGCGTATTTTGCATGCATTTTCACCCCCAATGGTAGGAGGAAAAAACGTCATTAATGTCAAATTAAGTAAATTCAAAGCAAATCTTCAATTGATTAAACTAATTATTGATGTTTTACGGTGCATGTCAGAGCTGACCTGGGATGAAGGGATGTTCATTTCTTCCAAGTCTGCATTTTTATACAGTATCAAACTTCCCCACAGCACTGAATGATGGCATCCAGGGCACTTTCCCTCAACAGGAATTAGGTGGAAGGGGTCTGCCTTCAAAAAGTGTCCAGCCAAGCAAATGAGGTGACAAACCATTTGACAGGAAGGGTGGAAACAAGACAATCTATCCACAGTCTGAAACAATTCAAAAAAAAAAAAAAAGTAATTCCAATAGGGATGAGTCTCAACTATTTTATGACAGCAATTTTTCCTCAAAACTACAGTAAAACTAAACTAAAACCTACCTTAATAAATTCCCCACACAACACACAGAGCTCCACCTGTCTTTCCTCTTGCTCTTTGCTCACATGTTGTGGTTTTCTCTTTGCACGAACACAGCCAAACGTTAGAGGAATGTGCAGTGGAGGCTGTAAATCAGGGGCGAAATCCATTCGATACTCCTGCTTTAGCCAGCGCACAGTGATAGGGAGTCGACTCCATGGTGCCACTCGCAACATGTTTGACACCACACGCCAGTGAAATTGCAAACCTGACTCTTTACGGCTGCGACGGGAAACGTGGGACAAACGACGAGAGATGTGAGGATGTTGCCAAGCCCATTCAAACTAGGAAAGAAAAGATTTATTAGTCTGCCAAAGTACATTTATTAGTCAGCCAAAGTAATTTTTACTTTTTAAAAATTAGCTCGAAAATTAAGAATCTAAATAAAAAAATATTAATAGTAAAACAATGGTAATATCTTAATGGTAAAACAAAATTAAAAATACAAAACAGAAAAGGGTATTTACCCGAAGAGCTGCAATATCAGATGGAAAGCCATGGATGATAAGAACCATTTCCCTTAAATTTAAAAAAAAAAAATATAAACAAATAAATAAAAATTCAAACAACAAAACACCACAAGCGGGGCATTCCAAAAAGCAGGTTACCTCGTTTGCAGGTGAAATTTAAAGAAATGAAAGTCAGTACTGTATGCTTTCCATTCAAAAACAGAAACTTTCCAACTATGGCCATGAACAGCTCATGCGTGTTATATATTTCTTAAAAAAAATATTTATTTCTACTACTATTTAATGTTTTTGTTAATATTTTTAATAGTTTTGAATTTATCTGTTTAAGTTAACAAAGTATATGTTGACAACGTCAGTAAAAAAAAAAAAAAAAAAACTGCTGATAGTTTGGCTTTGGACTTGTGGAGCTGCGCATGGATGGATTTGCTCTTCAGTGTTTGGACTTTCAGCAGTAAAAAATTAAACCACACTGACACAGTTTCAGTTTACTAGAACTTCTATGTTAAAACTGCTTTGACACTATCTACATTGTAAAAGCGTTATAGAAATAACAGTTAACTTAATTGAATATTATCAGCTGATGTCTCACCAAGGTCCCCTGCCACTGGTTCTCTTGGCTCCTCCTCGGTGTCGCCCGGCGTTGTGTTGTCCGATACGGCGCTCTGGATTCACAGTGAAGCCAATATATATTCGACCCTTAAATTTCGGGTTTGTACAGTACAACATATACACACCATAGAAACTCTCCACCTCCACAACCATCCTGTTTAAAACAACTTTTTTTTACAAAGAACCTTTAAATTGTTCCTCATCTTAAGTGATACTACTGATCAAAACTTCTGGCTTAAAATAAATATGACATTTTATTAAATACTAACGTTAAAACAAAAATCCACTGTTGCGTTTGGTGTGGTCATGTGGTTCTTTCTTTTCAAATGAAAGCTGCCCCGGTATTGCATGTGCAAATAATTTGATATGGATGTCGCATATTAAGATTTAAAGTATTAGATAAAATATTTTACAGCCATCAGTGTTATTAACAAATAAAACATTGACGCTGTATTTATTAGTTTAATTATTTTTTTCTAATTCTTTAACATTTCGATCAAGCAAATTCAAAGAAGCCAACACTACCAAGGACCCCAAATGCTCTCTGTTTTGATTGGTCAAAACGTCGTACTTTGATAGGGATTGGCCATTATTGTGGTCTAGAGGCGTGACTTAAAACAAAAAGCTTGGGTGACACCAAAGAGCTTAGAAACGCCTATTCTATGCCCTTTTAAAAAATAAACAAGGGCTGCTGCCATAAACATTATAACATATCTGGACGCATAGACGTTAAATAAATAGATAGCTAGACCAACGCCTCATGGTCCATTTCGGTTCGTTGCCCCGACAAGTCAACGCGACTGGCATCTTTAAACAGACGCAGCTGAACGGACGAGCTACTGTTTTTTTTTTCGGAAATAAACTAAATCAACGCTTATATTTATTAACTGATTATAATTTCATGATGTGAAAAAACTCTACTTACCTAGAAGTAAGAAAACTCAAACTTGTCATGTATATTTTATGGTATAAAAAGAGATGTATTATCAATAAATGTATCCTTTATCACTAATAGTGCTGTCTCTTGTTTTGTTTCACCGTTTTATAATAGTGATCATAAAAAGTTCATATAAAGTAATGAATCACACATTATTATAATGATATAATTTTATACAATAAAATAGACTGAAAAGAATAATTAGTAATAGCATATAAATATGAAATAGTATGTGTGTGCTTATGGATAAAATTGTAATTCAAGTGTGAATAATACTAATACATCATTGCTACTCCAATGGCTTAAAGAACCATGTATAAAAGGTAATTTATTCCATTGGCAGTGACTGTACTAAACCAGATTCTCAGTTGAGTGATGTTTTGCAAGTTAGTGTGCCCATAGTTGTGAAAATACAAAGATCATGCCTCATTATTATTGTTGTTATTAATACTACGTTAGAGGGTCTGTGTGGGTTATGTGTTTTAAAGATATGTGAGTGTATGTATGTTGTATTTAACGTTCTGGCAGTGTCAAGAATTAATTTAAACTCAGAACTTCTGTGCAGACAATGAAGTAAATAAAAAGTAAATTATTATAAATGTGGTGGAAATATAACAAATAAAAATATATATATGCAGATTATTTTATACAGCAGAATATAGGTGTAAGAGTTGAAATATTGCAAATATTCTGATATCTTTGACAATTCAAAACATGAGCTGAAAACAGAGACTGGTAACTTCACAACCCAGCAAGGGGGAATGCGGGAAAAAAACAGTTCCTGCTGCATTTGCATCTGAGTATGCTGAAACTCAGCTTCATCCCCCAATCTCACGCATATGGTCATTTCAATGTTTGAATGTTCTAGATTAACCAAACTGACTTTAACTATCATGTTTGATATCAATTGAAATGTCTCAGTGCGATTGGTACAATGGTCTCATTCTCTCAGAAATAGACATAATCAGAACAATAAATATATAACTTCAGGCATCTTTTGAACCACTGTGAGGGGTGTGACTTTTACACTAAGTGTGAATGCCTTTTGTTATTCACACCCCCTTCCTTGAGGGAATTCTTGGATTATTTAAGGTAGGGTATAAGAAAGTCTCAGCGCGATTTTGCCTACCCAGATCAGCCCATAACATGGAGCCTAGGCTCCACGTTATGTAAAATTTACACGTTATGTAAAAAGTCTAAATCTTAGATTTATCTTTGATAATTTGATGTTTTGTATTGATCGTTTATGAATTGACTGATTGAATTTGGCATAATACATTTACCTGACTAATAAATTATGTTTTGAATTATTCAAACCTCGTGTTATTATCACTGATAAATGTTGTTGTCCATAGCACTACAAGCCACTGTACAGGTTAGTAACGGACTAAAACATGTTAGACGGAGCAGCGTGGCACGCTATACAATGTTGATAGAGATCCGACTAACAAATTGGCATTTATTCATGTATACTTGGACTGTAAAAGGCCAACTATTTAGAACAACAAAATATTGTTGAAACTACTTTAAATGTGGATATTTAGGCCTTCATCTACAATAGTATAATCCTGCGCGATTATTATTAAAATACTTTGTCTTGAATTAGTAGATAACAGATCTATGGGGACCACATAAAAAATCTCCTAAATTGAGTAAGTAGTGTTCTGCCTTTCTAGGAGAATGGTTAATCGCCTCTGTTTAATGACCAAGACTGACAAGCTTGTATTAAGAGATTGTATACCCGGCCGGTGCAAGACTCGGGATGCTATAGGAATCTGAGTAAATGAGAATAAGGTATAATAACAAATCAAAAGAATATTCAATCATAATCTAAAATAGTGTGAAAGGAAACAAAATAATCTTCTCAATGTTTTATAATTGGAGTCAGATTAAACGAGGATAAATAAATTAATATTCTAAACCACCTCATACTAAAATTGGAGTCAGATATGAGTTAAGTTTAATATAGATCAACATTGTGCACTGGAAAGACCGAACATGCAGTGAACCTTCATCCACCAGTGGATACCGTCATTGGACCAACTGGCTGGACCCTACAATAGGTAATAACAATAATTTTTGTGTAGCGAGTAATAATACAATAAAATAAATACAAAATGTAGGTAGAAAATTGGATAATAATAATAATTATATAACGTGTCATATAATAATATGATAATATATCAATCAATCAATCTATTAGTTACTAAACGTAAACCCTTCAAACACAAAGTGTTCAGTTTGGTAATGTGGTGCATCATTATTTTGTGGAAGACAGACATACAATGCCAACAGTTGATTTAATTTACTTAATACAAGTTCACTTACAGGCGAGGCAGTGGCGCAGTAGGTAGTGCTGTCCCCTCACAGCAAGAAGGTAGCTGGGTCGCTGATTCGAAGCTCGGCTCAGTTGGTGTTTCTGTGTGGAGTTTGCATATCCTTCGCGTGGGTTTCCTCCGGGTGCTCTGGTTTCCCCCACAGTCCAAAGACATGCGGTACAGGTGAATTAGGTAAGCTAAATTGTCCGTAGTATATGAGTGTGTGTGTGTGTGTGTAAATGAGTGCGTAGATATTTCCCAGAGATGGGTTGCGGCTGGAAGGGCATCTGCTGTGTAAAAACTTGCTGAATAAGTTGGCGGTTCATTCCGCTGTGGCGACCCCAGATTAATAAAGGGACTAAGCCGACAAGAAAATGAATGAATGAATGAAGATCACTTACAAAGAAAATCTAATAATTTATTTTTGAAAGCAACCTCACTGTTATAGCATTTTACACAAATGTATAGCTTTCCAGTTTTCATTACTGAAGCTTTGCAGTCAGGTTTTTTTTGGCCTCTACTCCCATATAAAAACAATACTAAAGTAATTTATAGCAAATACTATTATATTTTTGAGCAATACTGTAATTGAATTAATCTGTTTTGATGATGCTATAGTTGCTATAGTTGCTATGGTAGCACTTACATTTCCACAACAGAATACATTGAACTAAAATACACTACAGTTTACTGTAGTAAAAAAAAAAATGTATACCACAGTATTTATTACAGTTTATCAGATCACTATAGTATAATGTAGTGTTCATTAACAAAGGGTTGTCAATACAATAATGTATATAGTGCAATATACTTGCTATATAAAAAAAAACACTATAGTATTTAGTATAAACTACTAATTATACAGTATGTGGGCTATATATAAAAGGATTTTTTCAATGTTATACATGTTAATCACATTTTAAAAAGAGAACATTCTCTTGAAAATGTAAAAAACCCTCCCACTGCTTCCTTAATTCTACATTTTTATTTATTCATTAGGAAAGCTTCAATTTTCAAATAAATTCCAATTTCCAACAGCCAATATTACTGTTTAATATCTTTGCAGAAATGATAAGGTTTGTTATGGTTGTTATAAGTGTAATAAAAGTGAAAATAAACAGTAACGTTAGTTAATTGTGGTACAGATCGAATCTGTTCTACGACTGTGTAAACATGAAAAAAAAATGCATGCAATTGGATATTCAGAGATCGGTGAACTTTGCATATTTCACAGACCTAACAGCAAGACAACATCTTTCATCGTGTCTAGTGTGGCGTGGATGCTAAAACCCACGGTTATGTAACCATGACATTGTTAATTGTATGGCAAGTGTAAAAACATGAGTCGGATATGGGTCAATTAAAAGAACGTGTAAATGGACAGGCAAAAAAGTCAAATTAGACAACCAAAATCCAATGTCTGATAGACGTCATGTTGGTAACGTCCACACAACATCAAGCTGTAACATCATTAGACGTTGATATTTGGTTGGTTTTAGGTTGGATGTTGGCCTGACCTTGAGTTCTGACTGCAACATGATTTTCATCATCAAACAAAATGCAGCATCCCCATGACGTTAGGGTACAACGTCATTCTAACGCCATATTGACGTCTTGTGCCTGCTGGGTGTTTAAGGCCATTTCGGTCATCATACAGTAAACATCCATTATCTTCTCATCAATGACATGCATCTAAACAGTCTCTGGGTCATTGCGCGTAAAGATTTTTGATACCTTCTTGTACACTTTTAATGCTTTCAAACTGTTTGCTGTAATTATAAATCACCCATGTATTGGGGTAGTTTATTATGATGCAATTTACCTTCTGTGTGCGATCTGATTGGACAGGAATCACAGGACTGATTTTTTAATCCCTGTAGACAAGAAAAAATAAAGTAGTGACTGCAGGTTGAAGGAAAGTAGTGGAGTAAAAGTACCAATTACTGCACTAAAAATGTACTCAATGAAGAGTTAAAGTACACATTTCTAAAACTAATTTGTAATTTACAGATTCAGAGGAAAATTACTCAATTACAGTAATTTGAGTATTTGTAATTAGTT